CGCCAAACTCTGCAGATTCCTGCGGGGTCATAGTGCATCCTCCAGGGGAAGGGAGGAGAGTAGTCCCGGCCTGCAGTTTGCAGAGCCCCCCATGGAGAGCCCCCCCATGGTGCTGTAGTTTGCAGTTTATGGCAAAGCCAGCTAAACCCCATTCCCTGGCTCACTGACTGTAGCCGGTTTCCCTGCACCAATGCTTGGGAACTCTTCCAGCTCAGGTGCCCCTGTTTTTTCTGTGACCCTAGGGATCCTGAGACCACACCGTCCCACCTGAGATTCTGCCCCACTTCGCCACCTGAGCACCTTTCAGGGAGGGACCTCTCTCACTGGAGCATTCTTCTTCTTCTTCTTCTTCTTCTTCTTCCTCTTCTTTTTAAGATTTTATCTATTTATTTGACAGAGAGAGATAGACAGCGAGAGAGGGAACACAAGCAGGGGGAGTGGGAGAGGGAGAAGCAGGCTTCCCACCGAGCAGGGAGACTGATGCAGGGCTTGATCCCAGGACCCCTGGATCATGACCCAAGCCGAAGGCAGACACTTAATGACTGAGCCATGCAGGCATCCCAGGAAGAAACTTTCTAAACACCTGTGCTGCCATGATTCTGGCTGCCACAGTTCATACTCTGCATACACTGAAGACCTGCAGTCAGACCTTTGGGCCGTGTGAACGTGAAGCTTTTTCATATAGAATGATGTTAGTCATCATCCATTGGAGTTTTTGAAGATCATTGCAGAAATTACAGATAGCAAATTAAAGGCAAGTTGATTTACTCTAAAAGAGCTAAATATAAATATTGTTAAAGAATATATCAGTATTGGCCAACATTAAATCAGATGGGAGTTATGGGTTGCTTGCCTTTGGCTCAGGTCATGATCCCAGGGTCCCGAGACTGAGATCCACATTGGGCTCCCTGCTCAGCAGAGAGCCTACTTCTCCCTCTGCCCCTGCCCCTGCTCACATATGCTCTCTCTCTCTCAAATAAATAAATAAAATCTTGAAAAAAATAAGATGGAGTCATATATAAATGACACACAGATGGCATGCAAAATAGTACATACTGTTTGTTCTAAATGATTTCATTTATATGAAGTTCAAATATTGACACATCTAATCTACAGTTCAGAAGTCAGGGTTATTAAGCTACTCTTTGATACCAGCGTTGGATTTCTGCAAATGATATTTTTCTTCTTACCAGTTGACTCTTTTGTTAGGTTTTAGTACCAGGAAGGCGGCTCTGAAGGAAGACTGCAAGGTAGGAGGAAGGAGAAATGATTTGCTCCATTTTTTTTTCCTTTGCTTTCCTAACAGACTTACCACAGAAATGGTTCTTTACCCAGCAGTGGTTGGAGTACCACCTCAAGTTTTTTGTTGTTTTTTTTCCCTAGCACTTCCAGAACTAGCATCATTGTGTGTGTGTGTGTGTGTGTGTGTGTGTGATTATGGAGGCTAACAAGTCCCAAGATCTGCATTCAGCAAGCTGGAGACCCAGGAAAACCTGTGGAGTGTTTCTAGTATGAGTCACAAAGCCTGAGACTCAGGAGGTATGAATGAGACTCAGGATGGTAGTTCCAGTCCAAAAGCCTGTAGACTACAAACCCAGGAAAAATTGGTGTTTCAGTTTGAGTCAGAAGGCAAGAAAAGACCAGTGCTTCAGTTTAAGGAAGTCAGACAGGCATTCCCTCTCCTTCAGCCTTTTTGTTCTATTCAGACATTTAATTAATTCTATGAGGCCCACCCACACTAAGGAAGGCAGTCTGCTTTACTCAGCTTAGCGATGTAAATGCTAAACACACTTCAAAACATCCTCACGAAAACACCCAGATAAATATTGAACTAAATATCTGGGCACACCATGGCCCCGTAAAGTTGGCACATACAATTAACCACTATATCCATTCTTCAAGTTGCTAGATACTAATAACCAAGAGCTTTCTTTGTCACTCCAAGCAGTGACTTCTTTCTGAAGTGACAGGTTAAATATTTCAGTGTTCCCTCAGGTCCCTGTTTCAGGTTCATTTCTCCAATAACTCATATTAAATCTACATGTTAACCTTTCTGTTTTGATATACTTAACTTAGATTTTGCTTTTCTGATGGGACCTGGCTGGCTCAGCATATGGTTCAAAAGAGTGGTCCCAGAAACGACCCTTAAAAAATGAGATTTAGGAATTCATTTACAGGTATCCTTGGACTTGATATCAGTAACAGCCAATAAGAAATAATAGCAATTAGTGACATGTAGTAGCATTAGGAATAATTAATTCTGAAGCAAGAGTCTGGATGATCCAAGGACTAATGTGCCTGCCTGTTATGTTAAGAATAATGACTACCAGGACTATGGGATGGGATCGCTCTTCTGACCATCCTGGAAAGCTTAGAAGTCGGGACAGTGGCTGTTTGGAGAACTATAATTGGGAGAGGATGTCAGGAGAATTGCTTAGATTTTTATATAGTTTATTTCCTTAATCTGATTAGCAGATAAAAATATCCATGCTTTTTGTGAAAATGTATCAAGGAGTAAAATTGCTTATGCACTTTTTTTTATGTGTTTTGTATTTCCATTTTTCAAAAAATAGGATGTTAAGACTAAGATGAAAAAGGGGGGTGCCTGGGTGGCTCAGTCGTTAAGCATCTGCCTTCGGCTCAGGTCATGATCCCGGGGCCCTGGGATCAAGCCCCGCATCGGGCTCCCTGCTTACGGGGAAGCCTGCTTCTCCCTCTCCCGCTCCCCCTGCTTGTGTTCCCTCTCTCACTGTGTCTCTCTCTGTCAAATAAATAAATAAAATCTTTAAAAAAAAAAAGACTAAGATGAAAAGGGATGAAAAAGCTGGCAATGATCATACTGACATATTGACAATTTGAGTATAGATAAGAATCATGACAGTAATGGATTATAACAAACTGAATTAACTAAAAAATTATGTGAATCCATAAGGAGAAAAGAGAAAAAAAAGTGAAGAAAGTTTATTTTTTGTAGTGATATGTCAGTTTACAAATGTACAACAATTGATACAAAAATCACAATTTTTTAAAGATTCAGGCAAAGATAATCGAGATACTAAAAATCATTGTGTGAATTCATGTTTGTTAAGAAACAGACTATTTACATGGTCTCAAAGAATAACCCCATCGTTTACTTCTTAATTACAAATTGAAAAATACACTTTCATAATAATGAAATCTATCAGTCTCCTCCTTAACTAAACGTTCCATTTTCCCATCACCAATGTGGGACAGCCTGGTATGCATGTTGTATGGCAGGTGTTAAACAGCATCACCCATTTCATGTTCTTTCCAGAAATTACTGACAGATTCTAGTCAAAAGGAAATAGATCAATTCACAATGCAGGACACTTTTTTTTCAGGGTAACCGGTCTGTACTTTCCAAAAGTTCACTGTCATGAAGAAGAGAGGGAGCAATGGAAATCAGGTAGGTTGGGGGAGATAAAAGAGACTTCACAGAAACATGCAATGCATGAACCTGGACTGACAAATTAGAAGATAAGAGAATTGTGGATCCAGCCAAGGAAAATAGTGAGTGGATATTTGTTTGGTTATATTATTGCATATCTTGATTTCCATAGGTCATTTGTAGTAACTTTATTATGATTACATAGAAACTGATGGCCTTTTTCCTGAGACCTACATGGTGACACACTCAGGGGTGGAAGGGCCTCACATCTGCAGTGATTTGGGAAAACAAAAGGTAGAGGAGGGACAGATGTGACAAGATATTAACGTTTGATGCATCTGTTTGAAGGGTGGGTAGGTGTTTACTGTGCATTTGAAATTTAATAAAATAAAAATAAATAATTTAATTAAAAATACACACACACTTATTTTTTTCCCCTCAGAGCTTTTTAACTTCAGGTGTACTAAGAATAGAAAAGTATTCAATATAAAAGAAAAATACCTTATAAACCAATATTTTGCCATCACAAACTCCCCAGCAATTTCACACTTTAAAAATCCCTTAAAAAAACCCACATAGACTCCACTGGTAAATACAAAATTTCTCACATAAAAAAGAATATTAATGTACAGAATTAAAAACTAGAGATAAGATGGAAAACTACATTAGTCCTTTTTGGTAATTTTAGCTTGTTGATAAAAATGTAAATGATTGTAGTAAAAAAAAAAAAAAAAAGCATAGTATGCTACCAGGCTTTATATGTGACTTCTTTACCAAGACTTCATTTTTTTCTCACATTATTTTTCCTTTGGAGGTAGTTCCTCATAAATATAATAATTAATTGGCTTAGCATTTTGATATCTCTATCAATATTAAGATAATATATAAGTTCTAGATTTATATACAGGTTAAATCTCATGGAAGAAAATATTGGAATGAAACACTTCTCAAGGTAAAACTGAATATATAAGTTGAGAACTTAAATTACATATTTATTATTCTGAAAGTATTAAAGTTATTAAACATTTTAAGAAGTTATTCTTACATCTAAAATTCAACTTTTCACATATGGCAGCATTGCAAATGAATAAACAGAATAAAAAAATAAAATTATTATCCTGGGTGTTTTTCTTTGTAAATAAAGTAAAGTTAAATGTTTATTAAAAATATTTTTGGTCTGGTTATGGTGTAGTAAGTTACAAGTGACCACCACTCCTATTAAAATAGTAAGACCAAGCCCTATAAATTACAAAGTCATAGTCTTCTCTTCCCTGTCAGAGCACAAAGCATTAAAAAAAATCTAAATAAAATAAATTCTAGAAAAATAATTGCTCCTCATTGGAGATAAGTTAGTTTCCCTTAGCTACTTATCCCAGAAAACTTTTATTCTGGGAGGAGAAGAGAATGAGGAGTGAATACACATGGGAAAAGAAAAAGAAAAGAAAAAAACCCCACAGACTTTTAACTGCTATGTGTGGCCTACAGGCCAGCAAGATGAATTAGAATCCTGAGGATTCCCAGCCATGGAGTGAGTCTCCTCCCACTTGGCAACACTTTTTCTGACAGTCTTCACCAAGTAAATGTGAAGAGAATGCCAATAGTGGGGGACCAGGAATTAGAGATGAAATACTTCTCCATAAAGGTGCATAAGGCCCTCCAGGGTATAAGGCAACAGCCCAAATCTCAGCACAAGTCAGGAGGGCTGAGAAACATTCCAAAAGTAAGAATGGCTGACACTGAGTGCCAGGTGCAGTCTGATAAAGACCGTGAGAAAGGCAGGTGTGGTGAAGAGAGGACATTTGAGACAGTTAAAAATTGAGCAGAAGTAGAGAGCATAGAAAACACACACACCCCAAAATCTAGCAGTATGTTGACAAGCAAAAGAAATCTCCTACAGTAGAGCCAGATTTTATCAGAGCTATAAACCAGAGTGAGACACTCAGTTCCCATTCTATGAAAGGGCAGGTCCTGATCAACGTCTCAAAATATTTGTAGTGGTGAAGTAAATCTTACAAAAGCTGTGTGAAAAGGCCAAATGCAGCTAAGCTACTGACTAGATATCAGTCTTATAATCTAGCAGCCTGATAGAATAGGGGGTATGTTCTGGAAATCAAATTTTTCGTATCAACCTCCACCATTTGTTTTTTATATACCATGACCTACATACAAGTAAGTTTGTAAAATTCCAAAATAGCACAAACATATACCCATAATCAAGGGAGAAAAATATCAATAGAAGATTTAGAAATAATCAGACAAAAACTTTAAACTATGAAAAAAATTAGTTAAAAATTTGGAAAACGTCAGGGCACCTGGGTGGCTCAGTTGGTTACGCGACTGCCTTCGGCTCAGGTCATGATCCTGGAGTTCCGGAATCGAGTCCCACATCAGGCTCCCTGCTCAGCAGGGAGTCTCTTCTCCCTCTGACCTTACCCCTCTCATGTACTCTCTCTCTCTCATTCTCTCTCTCAAATAAATAAACAAAATCTTTAAAAAAAAAATTTGGAAAATGTCAATACATACTTAAACAGATGGCAATTTTCAATGCAGACATAGAAACTATTAAAAGAAGCAAATGAGGGCGCCTGAGTGGCTCAGTTGGTTAAGTGACTGCCTTCGGCTCAGGTCATGATCCTGGAGTTCCGGGATCGAGTCCCACATCGGGCTCCCTGCTCAGCAGGGAGTCAGCTTCTCCCTCTGACCCTCCTACCTCTCATGCTCTCTGTCTCTCATTCTTTCTCTCTCAAATAAATAAATAAAATCTTTAAAAAAAAAAAGAAGCAAATGAAAATACGAGAACTGACAAATAAAATAATGTTAAAAAATCATTATTGAAATTCACAGTGAATTAGACACAATTAAAAAAAAAAGAAACTTATTTCCAAGATAGATAAGAACTTTTGTAAATCAGTATTTAGAACACAGCCACTGAATTTAATAAATAAATACATTAACAGTGCAAAACTTAAGGATAATTTCACTAAAAACATAAAAATGTTGACTAAGCACATGAAAAATTGTGAACATCATTATATGTAAACTGAACCACAATGGGTTATGCTTCATACCACTAGAACAACTACTATTAAATAGACTTATAATGGAAAACGTTGGAGAGGATGTCGAACAAGTTAACTTCTTATATATTGCTAATGGGTGTGTGAAATGTTAAAACTTTTGAGTTTAAAAAGGAAACATACTTATATGTCATGACAAAGGAACAATTTTCATGGAGAAATGAAAATATATGTCTATAGGAAATTACTCAGCCTTATTCATGGTAGACCGGAAAAGGAAACAATTAGAATTCCAACAACTGGGGGGGGACCTGGGTGGCTCAGTCGTTAAGCGTCTGCCTTTGGCTCGGGTCATGATCCGGAGTCCTGGGATCAAGCCCCACATAGGGCTTTCGCTCAGTGGGGAGCCTGCTTCTCCCTCTTCCCCCTCCCCCCTCCCCACTTGTGCTTTCTCTCTCTCTCTCTCTATCTCTCTCTAATAAGTAAATAAAAGCTTTCATAAAATTCCAACAACTGGGGATGATTTAAAAATTCTAATATTTTCATATCATGTAATACTACTTAGATATAACAAAATGTCAACTACTGATACATGCTATTACATGGTGGATTTCAAATACACATTATTTTGAAAACAACATGTTGAACAAAGCAAACGGGCAAAAACCATGCATCATATATATATTATATATATATTAGTTATCTATTGTTGCTTATCAAATTACATGAAAACCTAGTGGCTTAAAACAACAATTTACTGTTTCACAGTTTGTTTGAGTCAGGAATCTGAGCACAACTTAACTGGGTACCTCTGACTTAAAGTCAGTGTTGACTGGGGATGGGGTATCTGAAGGCTCAATAGAGGGAGGATCTGTTTTCACACTCACTCATGCTGATGTTGGGAGGAGTTGTTTTCTCATGGACTGTTGGACTATGAGTCTTCCCTCAGTCCTTCGCTGTGTGGAGCTTTCAGAACATCGAGGCTGGCTTTCTAGGGAAGTAGCAAGATCTCCTAGTGTAGAAGACACAGTCTCTTTACTACCTAACATTAGAAGTAAACTTCTTTTGGCATATTCCGGTAACTAGGTCCAGCATATTGCAATGGGAGGGAAATACACCAGGGCATGAATATTAGGAAGTGGGAATTATTAGTGGTCATGTTAGAGAGAGTCTACTACACCTATGATTCCATTTATATAAAATAAAAAGACAAGCAAACTGAGTTATGCTGACTAAAATCAGTAAGCGGCAATGTTCAGTGAATGGCAAGTAAAGTTTAACTGGAAAGAATGAAGGAAATTTTTCTGGGTTATGGAAATAATCTCCATCTTGGTGGTGGTAATTGGGTATTTGCAATTTTTTAAATTTAATACATTGGTGAAACTGAATCATAATATGTATATAACATCTTTTGTCATTTATACTGAAACATTATATATATGTGTATATATATAATTTCTTTTGTCACATACTTTAATGAAATTAGGAAAACAAAAATAATAAAATTGAATATTTGAACTATTTGAATATTATAGAACTAATAAAGTCAAAATTATTTAAAAGATAACAAAATGTCAATATATCACATCTAATTTTCTGCAAGAAGTATCTAGGACTAAATTCACCAAATCCAAAACTGTTTACAGCATTCTTTGTCATGTTGCTGAGGTGTTAGAGTACACCAAGGATGAGCAACTGGAGAGCCTGTTCCAGAGGACTGCCTGGGTCTTTGATGACAAATACAAGAGACCTGGATATGGTGCCTATGATGCATTTAAGCGTGTAGTCTCAGACCCATCTATTTTGGATAGTTTAGATCTGAATGAAGATGAACGGGGAGTACTTATTAACAATATTAATAGGCGTTTGACATCACAAGCTGTCAAAATTCGAGCAGATATTGAAGTGTCTTGTTACGGTTATGAAGGCATTGATGCCATAAAAGAAGCCCTGAGAGCAGGTTTGAATTGTTCTACAGAAACCATGCCCATCAAGATTAATCTAATAGCTCCTCCTCGGTATGTGATGACTACAACAACCCTGGAGAGAACAGAAGGCCTCTCTGTTCTCAATCAAGCTATGGCTGTTATTAAAGAAAAAATTGAGGAAAAGAGGGGTGTCTTCAATGTTCAAATGGAGCCTAAAGTGGTCACAGATACAGAAGAGACCAAACTTGCAAGGCAGCTTGAGAGGCTTGAAAGAGAGAATGCAGAAGTGGATGGAGATGATGATGCAGAAGAAATGGAAGTCAAAGCTGAAGATTAACTTTGTGGCAAACAGTCCAGTTTAAGGAACATTAAGCAGCCCTTCCTGGCTGTACACCCTAGACTTGAAAGTTTTCCAGTATTGAAAACTTCAAAGCTGAATATTTTTTATTTCCAAGTATTTAAATGTTCCAACAGACCAAAACGTGACATGCCCTCCTAAAAGTCAGCTGTTTTCACACAAGAGCTCCAACATTCAGCAGTTTTTAAGGGAGTGGGCCTAACTTCACTAGAGACAAATCTTTAAGAACAGTCATAAAATTGGGCTTGTGGTGTCCATTTCTGATGTCTCCAGATTGGCACCCCTTTGTAGTTCAGTGTCTCCCTGAGATTTACCAGGGGCACCCAAAGCAAATAGCCTCAACTTTCTATATAAAATGTATCAAGCAAACATTAAATAAATTTCTGCATTTCATGTTTGCAAACCATATTTCCATTGGAATAAGCCTATTGTCCCTGATTATGCATATATTTCTTTTTCATATAATGCTTAATTATGATTAATTCAGGAAGCATTTTTTGGTGTACATATTTGTAAATGAGCCTGTTATATAGCTTTAAGTTTTATTTCCCCCAAAAAAGTGAAATATTTGTTAAACCAAAAAAAAACCCCACACACAAACATGGTGAACATAACAAATAGTGCAAAAGGGTGCCTGGCTGGCTCAGTTGTTGGAACATGTGACTCTTGATCTCAGGATCATGAGTTCAAGCCCCATGTTGGGCATAGAGTTTACTTAAAAAGAAAAGTATTTAAGAAGTGGGGGCTTATATTGAAAAGCTACCATGTGCTTTTTGGGTCCTCTGCCTTCCAGGTTCCACTCTCCTAAGCATCCACTACTGTTTTTTGTTGTTGTTGTTGTTTTGGTTGTTATGTCTATATGTGTGAATACTTGGCTTAAAGTGTTTTTCTTGACTTACTAACTTCAAGCATTATTTTCTGGTTCCTGTTGAGAGAAGTAAGGACTTGCCCTCTTGAGTAACCCTCTGTTTCTCATTATAGTTAGATTTTCCTTTCTGTGAAAAAAAAAAAAAAAGGACTTTTTTGCTGAAACATACTTTTACCATGACATATTTTTTCTAAACAGAAATATTCACTTGGTTTCTAGTCTTGTCAAGAAAACATAATAAGAATATCTGTTAAAAGAATCTACAGCACACTTGGCATATATTATTACTAGATTATAAATTTGTTTTTTAACCTAAGTGTGCAGAGATGGTAGTCACTGATGTTTATGTGTGTATGGATGTATATATGTATCTGTTACAAAATTCCAAATGAAATATAAAAGGGTAAATATACATATTAATAATGCAGCTTTTCTATTCTTACCTCATACGTACTTTCTGTTCTCAGCCCACTGCAAAACTTCCCATCCGATCAACCACATATATATTTGTGATTTTTGTTCTGGTTACCTTTTGTTACATAACAAATGATCCCAATTTAAGGTATGAGACACCGTTTGATCATGGTCATGGCTTCTCTGCATTGGGGTTTGGAGAGGACACAGTGGGGACAGCTTGCTCCTGTTCCACAATGACTAGGTCCTTGGCCTCGAGGACTCTAGTACCCGACAGTAACACTAATGATGGGGGCTGGAATTCACTGAAGATTCTTTTCTTTAAAATGTTTGATGACTGGCCTGGGATTGCTCTTAGGCTGGACTCCGCAGCGGCTGTTGATCAAGATTCCTTGTTGGGGCTTTTTTATGTGGCTTGGAATTCTCACAGCCTGAAACAGGTGCCAGAAATGGAGCATCTGAGAAGGCCCATTCAGAAAGATGATTCTAATAGTGCAAGTTTGCCAGGAGACCAAGATGAAGCTGGAGGGCCTTTTGTGATCTTGCCTTGGATGTCCCCTAGCATTGCTCCTGCTTCACTGTATTAACCAAAATCATCAGAAGCCTACTCAAGAGGAGTTGACAAAGACTCCAGCTTTCTATGGGAAAAGTGGCCAATAAGTTATAACCTTTTTTTTTTTTTTTTTTCCTGCTGCTACTACCTCATGTGGTAATATAGCACTCACCTAGGGTCACTATGTGCTGATCAGCATTCATCTTGCATCTAGGTGTTACTTGTAGCAGCTCTTTGCTCTTATATCAATTCAAGGATTTTTCTTATCTGCCAATGTTGTTCACTATTAGACCCTTTAATACTGATCCAAAATTCCTTGAGTTGTCAGATTATTTTGTTTTCTGTATGTAAGAAAAGAGCATTGCTCAGATCCCTATCATATCCCCATCAAAATGATATTATTTTGTGCCCTGAATGAGCTATGTAGATCCTGGTTTCCTTTTCCTGTGCCCCACCCCCTGCCCCACACTATATCTTAAAGAGTCCTTCATGGAAACATCTTTGGATTCTGTTCAAATATTCTATAAATGTTTTGTCTAATAAAACTCAAAAACTGTAGTCTATAGATACAGTGTTGTATCCAACACAATCCAACTCCCTTCCTCCTCATCACCCTTCAGAAAACAGGAGTCACATGAAAATTTATCTAAACACTCAACATAACCTTAAAAACACTTACATTCTCACAGGATTACTCTGCTATACTTCACAACTCTCCAGTCCTTTGTATCCTTTTATATAATACATCTATAATTTCTTCTATAAGGATGAAAAAAGGCACATTTCTATCTACTGAGACTCTATGCTACCCACTATTCATGGACTTCTATCCCAGTGCCATATAGCCTCACAAACGAAACAACCCAAAATTCTGTTTGATTCGTACTCTTTCCTACGACAGCACAGCAGTGATAAATAGGAGTCTCAACTTGGTAAGACTTGATAAGTAAACACAGCAGCTTGTTCGTTTTTTAAATAAAATAGGTAAGTGTTTGACAATCTAATAAACAAAAAATGCAAAGCTACAAATGAAAACACGATTAGAAATGAGAAGTGCACTATACCAAGTGATATGAGGAAGACAAACTGTAAAGAATAATACAAAGTGCAATCAATGCCAATACGCCACAAATCTAGCGGATTTTAAGTATAATTTTAATTGTTCCAAAGAACATTAGAGACTCTATATTACCTTGATTTGTGCATTTGTGTGTGTAATTTTGAAATATATTTGAGATAAATAAATACTGAATATTTACATTCATTTTGTGATGATTGCTAAGTTTTCATTCCAAAACTCTTACAATGCTTGAAAAGGATAACACATGTAAAACTAAATTATAAATTTATCTTTATACATTCATATGTGTGGATAGACATATAGTTTTATACATTGTACCTATACATAAAATTCTAAATAAAAATCTTAGAAAATTAATCTAATGGATAATTAAAAGATTGTTCCACTCCAAATTCTGAGGCTCTATCTCAGAAAAGAAATGCTATTTCAGAACCAAGATAATATTAAATATAGCAGTTTAAAGCAATAGATTCAAATGGAAGAAGAAGAATCCAAATACATGTGAGCAAACATTTAGTAAATGTCAGTCAGTAGTTCTAATTAAAAAAGAAACCAAACTTTTAAATAACTGGGGATCCAAACTTACTGAGAATACTCATTGTTCACTATAAGTATTTTCTTCCTTTTTTTCTTTCTCTTTCCTTCCTTCCTTCTTTCTCTTTCTTTCTTTCTTTCTTTCTTTCTTTCTTTCTTTCTTTCTTTCTTCTTTCTTTCTTCCTTTCCTTCTCTTCCTTATTAAAAATTCCCCCCCCAGACACATGTGTACTAAAAGAAAACATGTTTTCTTAGCCTCACTTTTAGATACAAGTGGACATGAAATTAAATTCTGGATGAAAATGAAAGTGCAGTGTGTGAACTTCCTGCTGGGTTTTACATTTTACCCACGTTTTTAAAATTTCCTCCTACATCCTGTCATTTTTAGTGTGGATACTTCTGTTTGGATCACAACATGTATTTGTTTTAGCATTAGAATAGAAGGACTCTGGATCTCTGAAACCATGCAGAGTTAAATCAGCCTTTTCCTTTTAAGACAGTGCATTACGTTTTTCTTATACATCAATACAATTTGATTACATTTTTAAAACATTTAACTGGTTGGAAAGAAATGAATTGTGAAATCTTGATAGATCTGGAAATTATGAAGTTGAAGCTCGGGGCAAAAGGCAGAAAAGAAAAGAAAAAATATTTTAAAAGGTGGTTTGGATTAATTTTTAAGAACTAGAAACAATGGAAGTGAACAGTTTCTACTCGAACACAAAATAGCATTTACTACAAGAAAAAAGAAAAGGGTAGAGTAAACTACACCATAGTTATTCAACAAAGTTATATTGGTACAGATCACTGACATGCTATACTTAAAATATCATAATGAATGCCTAACGTTTAGTCAATCATAATGATAATTCTTATAGTACTAATCATTCACTATGTCCAGGAAACAATATAAATTTTCTGGCTTTTGTAGAAGTAATTTCAAAATTAGGTGCTTGAATACCAAAACATATTAGATAAAAATGTGATGAAACAAATGACTACTCTTTAGGATGGAGAACTCAAACAAGATTATAGTTTAATGGTTAGTAAAATTGTATAATATAATATACATAAAGTTTTAAAAGTAAATGATGCTCAGGTCAAGTAGATTGCAGCATGCTCAATATCATGTTAAACAGCTGTGATTTATATTACACATTTTTTAACTATGAGAGTAAGAAAACAACTAACTATAAACTCATGACTGTTTCATTGATTTTTTTTAACTTGTGAAAACACAGACCTTTGACTTAAATGAAGATTAAAAAGCAACCAGTTATCATAATCCTCGATGAAAATGTTAATGATATGTTGATAAGAATAAAAAAGAAAAAATTTACAAGCCAGAATTTGGCTAAAGTTTGAGATTTCTTTGTGACATGTGCAATTGAATGACTTGCTTGGAAAAATGATCAGAACTGTGCTACTTACAATCACAGTCTTCAGAATATTCAAACATCATTTATGATATTTTTTGGAATCTCTAAAAGTTGGAATAATTTAGTGAAGCATATTTCAAAGACCAGCTT